TGAAGCTACTTCCGCAGAATAAGATGGGGCTGGGTAAAGGTTCTTGGGAGGAGGGAGATCTGTGGATGTGTTTTTTTTTTTTTTTTTTTTTTGGTTGTCATAGGTGCCACCATCAAAATTTGATTCCTGTGGTCTTATATTTGAATTCTGATGTTGCTGCACCATCCAGACCATTAAACAGATTTTTTCAGGTGTTCAAGCACAGTCCAGAGGCTGGAGTGAGCCAGCAGCTTCCAGTCTTAGTTCAATCAAATGTTACCCCCCTTCTCTTTGTGTCTGGAGAGTTCAAGACTGCAGGTGTACATATTATAGCTTTTCATGACAAAGCCCAGAATTTCTTAGCATGGTAGGCCCGCCTCTGGATTGGCTTCCTGCCTGCCTGGCACCACACCACACCACACCACACACCACACCACACCTCCCTCTCACCACACCTCACGAAAAGACCCAGGCTCCAGGTTACATATAGAATTAACTTTGGTCTCCTAGAAATATGTCCCCACTGGTGCTTTTCTTCAGTTAGCCTAACCCCTAATGCAGTCCTTCAGAGCCCAGCTTCCTTTCCCCACCATCAGATGTCTTGGTTATGTGCCCCTCCCTCTGTGTTCCCATTGTGCATCACTGGGCAAGCTCACAGGTTTTGTCATGGTTTATCTCTCTCTCTTCCAGTAACAGCATTTCGGAGGATGGACATCAGCTCCTCTTCTCTGTGTTCAGTGAGGACCCCTGAAATATTTGTCTAGATATTTCAAAGGGAGCTTAAAAAGATGCATGCGTTACAGGTTTTGTGGGACAGCCTGCTAGGGTTTTGAATCAAAAAACGGGTTTATTTGGGCCACTGGGTGGTTCAGTTAGTTGAGTGTCCAACTCTTCTCATTTCAGCTCAGGTCATATCCCAGGGTCGCGGAGATCAAGCTCCCTGCATTAGGCTCATGAGCATGAAAACTGCTGCAGATTTCTCTCTCTCCCCTCTGCCTCAGCGCGTGTGTTTCCTCTCTCTCTCTCTCTCAAAAAAAAAAGTGAGTTTAATTGCAAGCAGTCTCACTAATCAGACAAGACACTCTACCCTTTTAGCTTCAGTTTCCTTTACTGTAAAATGGGGACAATACCTTCAAGGCTTGTGAAGGATTAAATTTTTTTTAATGTTTATTTATTTTGAGACAGAGAGAGACAGAGCGGATGAACGGGAGGGCTGAGAGGGAGACAGAATCAAACAGGCTCCAGTTTGAGCTGTCAGCGAGAGCCCGGAGCAAGGGCTCGAACTCACGGACCGTGGAGATCATGACCTGAGCTGAAGTTGTTGACGCCTAACCGACTGAGCCACCAGGCTTCCCAAGTCTTGTGAAGATTAAGTGAGATCGCACTCAGAGAAAAGGTGTGAGCTTTCTTTTCACTTTGCTCATTTGAAATAACAGAAGATATTTAGAACACAGTGATACAGTGTTTACAAACACAAATCCTGGGGCCAGATTGCCTGGGTTTAAAATTGCAAGCCTTACCTTAGACTCACTTGGGCAAAGTGTCTTGTGTCTCAGCCTCCTTACCCAAAAAAAAAAAAAAACAAAACAAAAACAAAAAACAGAGGGGAGGATGAAAATAATGCCTTTACCCCTATAGAGTATGAGACTACTTGAGCTGATACATTACAAAAGCACTTAGAACAACTGGAATGAGGTAAATGCTCGCAAGCATACAGCATACAACATAAGGACAGGCCCTGGGTCTTTGCTTCTAAGCATCTCTCTGTTGTACCTTGGCTCCAGGCTGATTGGCTTCATTTTCTTTTTTTTTTTTTTTTTAACGCTTATTTATTTTTTTGAGAGAAAGAGCACAGAGCATGGTCGGAAAGGGGCAGAGAGAGAGAGGGAATACACAGAATCAAGCAGGCTCCAGGTTGTGAACTGTCGGGGCACAGAGCTCAACATGGGGGCTCAAAGTCCCACAAACTGTGAGATCATGACCTGAGCTGAAGTCATCAGATGCTTAACTGACTGAGAGCCACCCAGGCTGGGATTGGGTATTTTAGCAAACTTTGCACAATCGTCCTACCATCTAGAGTGCCTTGTGTCTCACATGTGCCTATGTGCAGGTAAGCCCAGGTGGAGTATATTTAGAGCCCTGAGTTTCTGACAATGGGTGCTGAAAAGCATCTCCTGTGTTCCTACAGGGCTCTACTTTAACTGCACGCATACAGATTCCTGGTAGGCACCTGGTGATTTCTTCACCAGGTCACATCACTTTTCATCAAAAATTGTCAAAAAAACTGGACACCTGGTGACTCGGGTTGGTTGTTGCCCCATTTCGCTCAGGTCATGATCTTACAGTTTGTGAGTTCGGTGCCCATATCCCGGCTTCCTTCATTAGCTTATTCACTTTCTCTTTGGACCCTCTGCCCCTTTCTCTGCACCTCCCCTCCAACAAACATTAAAAAAAGAAATTGTCAAAAACCGACAGTTATATCAGCGTCTTTGGCTTGGAACCCAAATTTAAAGCCAAATGAAATCTGGAAGCATCCCCCCTCATCTCATGTGTAATCCTCTCCTCAGTTTTCAAATCTGGAAGCGTGAACCCCAGGAGGGAAAATGCTAGCCTCACACAGCTGTTTTTTGGTAGACCAGACACAGAAGCCAGAAGCAGTTTGTGGTCACTGAGTCATCTGTATTCGAGTGAGTGTTTTATACCTGAGGTTGTAGTCGAGGTCTCATCACTGCTCTGTCAAATAGCTGGGAGACCTGGACAAGGCACTTCATTCTCCTCTCTGGGCCTGTCTGGGTCTGAATAATTGACTGGTTGCAGAAGTAGGCCTAGCTGGTCTTCAAGGGCAGAGACATTTGATTATCTGTTTTTCTTTCTGTGTTCTTTTTCCTTGTAGACACAATCTCCAGTTTGGGGGAAAATTGTGCAGGAGATCTAATTAGTGGTGCAAGAGAATGTTCCCCTATTCCTCTTGGTATTCTGAATCTCTGTCTCCCAAGTCCCAGCCTTGTGATTTCTCTCATCTGTGAAGTTTTTACCCAGACTGAGCCTGTGATTTTTCTTTTTCTGCTCTGAGTTAGCAAATACTGCATTTTATTGTCTGGCTCTTATCAGCCTATATATGCACTTATCGTTTTTTAGGTTTGTTCTTGTCTGGGAGGACCAGACCATAATCTTCCCAAATCTTAATTCTTTTCTGTAGCCTACAGTTTGTGATCGCTCCCGGCATGTGTAGATGCTAATATACTTTTGGTCCATCATATTTGATTGATATATTAAGCATGGAGAAGAAAAATGACCAAGAAATGATCACATTAAAATATTTAAAAGTTTTCTTTGGAGTTTCTTTAGGTAAATGTTATGTTGCAGAATAAGACAGGGTTTTTCTTTTTTTTCCTGAAATAAGTCAATTAAAAACATAACTGTAAAGAGTACATAAAATTATTAAAATATGCTGGGGTTAGAAATGACCAGTAGGTATTAACTGCTTTGAAACTTTTCAACTCTTCAGAATATGATAAGCCCCAATCTTTATTTTAACAACAGAATGATATGGCTGGTTGTGTTCACATGATCCCCGCTAAGTTTATTTGCTTTTTTTTTTTTTTTTTTTTTTTTTTTTAATTTTTTCCCACATGAGGCGTGTGTAAAGCCCATGTGACTCCTGCGCGGTGGTGGTGGGCAAAGGGCCACCGCTGCCCCCAAGGTTTTCAGCTACTTATTAGAAATTTGTTGTTTGATGGGATCTGCTACTCATAAGTAGGAAGGATCCTAAATTAGTTTGCTGATGCTGTAGAGTTCATGGCACAAGATCTAGGTGATCAGAGTTCCTGAAAAGTAACGTCGACGGAGGTGGGGGTGGCGTCCCCAGTTGTTTTTAACCACACCACTAGAAAAGGTCTCAATAGATGCTCTGAAGACAGATGGAGTAACAAATGACTATCCACCAGTCCTCAGGTGCTGAAATTTTGGGTTTATTGTTAGGTAAGTTTTTTTCCTATAACTTTCCATCAGTGACTTG